CCCTGGAGACTCCCGGCTCTGACTTCATGAACATCAGTCTTCCTGCAGGACAGGAGAGCACCTCAGAAAGAAGGATTGTGGGCAAGTGACAACAGACTCGCACCTGTGCCAGGCATTGGTTACAGGGCACCATCAGAGTCTGCACTCCCTTTTCCTTTGCTCACTGTTTATCTCCATTTTTGTGCAATAAAATCACGTTAATTAAACCATGACTGAAAAGAAAGGCCCTGAGTCAATATTTGCATTTGGAAAAGACTAACTGGCACAGTTCAGGAATTGATTCCGCTTTATTAAAGCATCTGTTCACCCAGGGAACATTTTAGCAGCAATCAATATGTAATTCAATCTTTATTGATGTTTCAGAATTGCTTTGTTTCCCAGCAGTTTTGCTGATAGAATCAGCTTCCCCTTGCTTCCCTTGCTCCTCTTTTCTCAGCTTTACCACCAAACTTCAGTGAGTCCATGAGGCCTGTCCCCGCCAGCCTGCAGTCTGTAGATCATCAGAGCGCAGCTATTTAAACACCCATCCTCACGGGCCTGGGAGCAGCGCTCGCGGCGCCAGGCCTGCTCGACTGCTGCCGTGCAGGCCAGCGCTCCCCCACAAGATGGTGGTGTAAGCACAGCTTTCTCCACAGTGAGCAGCCCAGGCCTCCTCTTCCCAGAAGCCAGGTTCTCTGCTCAGACTCCTCTTAATCAGAGGCTGAACCTGCTCTTAAGAAAACCCGAGGAAAGCTGATGATCATCAGTGTCAATGAGAACAAGGTGCCCTCCTAAAAGATCAAGCGACTCACCTGGCAAGCTCAAGGCACATGCAGTCTCATCCTTTGATGCCTGGCGCAGGCCATCTCACATGTCACACCAAAACTGGCAGCAGCCTGTTGTGCAAAAACATGGGGACAGGCTTGTCCTGAGGCTCCGCCTAGACCTTGACACCCTTTCAGAGCACCCTTCATGCAGAGGGTGCTGCATGAACCCTAGCAGAACTGAGATAACAATTTAAATGCATCCACTGCAGAGCACCCACATGACTTCCTGGCTGTCTCCTAGTCATCCCTCCATGCCTTTGTCCCCTTGGAAAAGAGAGTGAGCTCTGCACTTAGTATATCAGCTATGATCCAATCCCTTCCACAGGGCACACCAACCTGGTTGTCAGATTTGTGCATTTGAAAATGTTCAGGCTTTTTGAACATCCTGCCACAAATTTTACAGATATATTGAAGCTGGTAGTGCCAGAGGAGGGCACTATAGTGACAAAGTACTCAAAACCTTTGTTTTAAAATTGCAATGCATTAAAATACCAACACACTCATCAGATTTGAATCAGCTACACAGTGAAGAGACCTCAAGTCAGGGCCAACACTCTGTGAGGAATCAGACCTACAGCTCCCCAGGAGCTGCTAGAGTACAGGCAATCACACTGTTGTAGCTGCTGGTCTAACGGGGTGACACCTTTTCACTGCAGGCACAGGCCTGAGGGACCAATGGGGCAGCCAGTTCAATGAAAAAGGGAAGGCTCTTTGTTTCACATGCCTCTTTGAGGCTTGAGAGCTGCAAGTTTTACCTCTGTCGTGGTGACACTGCTGCTGGGCAGGTGACTCATCCACTTCAGCTACTCCTGCTCCATGAGAACACATTTGCTTGGGAGCTTCTTCTTGCCCAACTAATCTCAAAAAGCAAAGGAACATGCCTCCTGCCTTTTTCCTGCCAGCCAGTAACCCTAGGGGTATAGCTTTATGTGAGCTCCTTGCTGCAAGAGGGGAGGAAGATGAAGTACACACATTCCTTTCTTTCCTAGGTGAGCCTGGCACAGGTGACAATGGGTTGAAGGGACAACTAATGCACAGAGTAGCCTAGGAAAAATAGCATAAAATGCCTCACCAGTGCAGTGACACTTGTACTTGCTGGGGACTGAATTCCTATGCATCCTTGGAGAAAAAATTCCTTAGCCAATATCTCTATCCTTTCCACGCATGACCTGGCTAGTTTGGTTATTCACTTTCTGACCCCTGAGAGCATCTGACTCCTCAGAGTGTCCCACCAGACCACTCAAAAATCACATACTATCCAAATATTCTCATAGCATGGTAGTAGGTCCTGAGATGTGACCCTGTGGTACACAGTGAGGAAAACCAAGCTCAGTTACCAACAGATATCTATCCCCTAACCCTAAGGTCACCAGGCCTAGAACTGGCTAAATGGCAGTATGGTCCTAGCACCAATCTGGATATAGCACTACATTTCCTTTGGCATGCCCTTTCTAGCCACACTCCCCATGGGACTCTACGCTTTCTCTCCCTCAATTCTAACCCTAGCCCCAACCCTAAGCTCACCAGGCCTAGTGCTGGCTAAATAGCAAATACGGGCCAAAACCCCAATTGGATATAGCACTACATTTATTTTGGCATGCCTTTTCTAGTTCCACTCCCCCTAGCCCTCTAGATATTCTCTTAACCCTAGTCTACAAACCACTGTGCCTGTATCTGAGGACGCTCAGAGCAACCTCTGGCTTAGTCCACATTAGCCAAGTACAAGATACATCTTTACCGATGCCTCTTCAGAGGGAGCCAGGTCCAACTGCCTCATCTATGACAGATTGCTATTGTCTTGATTTAGGCTAGACCTGTGTTTGTGTTATTAACTTGGGATTGAAGAGACATAAGATCACTTCGTTCTAGCAATGAGATCCCAGGTGGTAGTGGGCTTTGTAACTTAACTGCAAAGTTATAATGATAGAACTGACGTTCTGCAGAGAAGCCTGGTAGATTAAAATATTCAGGAAGATTTTAGGTTATACAGGATGGCAGACCCAGAAGCAGGGAAAAGAGGTAATAGAATGAACATATGTAGAACAACATGGTGAACATGAATGAACATAGGTAGAAGGAGTTCAGAAATATTCAAATGATGGCAATTTTCTCTTTCACTAGACTCTTATTAAAAAAAAAACAAATATCTGGGTATCCAGCAGCCAGAACATTTATCCCTTAACCCGAGTGAATGATCTCCCAGGGAAAAAAAAACAATTTAAAACATACATTTTCATAACACACTTTCTGCTCTTGTAAGGGAGGGAGAGACTTTTAGCAAAAACCCTATCCAGTTTGTAAATGCAAGCAATGAAAAAGCATAGTTAAAAATACAAAATAAGTCACTAAAATCTGACTAATTGTTTAAATCATTACTTTTATTTTAGACAAAAACCTTAATTTTATTTACTGAAAGGGGGATGTTTAAAATCAGGAAGATTATCATCCCTATTTGAAGGAAGAATCTATTTCTTCCTCCAAATGCATCTCCTTGCTAATCATAAATTTATTCCTTTCTTCAACTACTTTTCTGTCCTAGCTAGCCTCAGTCAGATACCAAGGTATCATCATATAAGACACTATCAGGTCTATAATGAAATCAATCCATGTGCCAGAATCACTTGTTCAGGCAAGCAGTGCAGCAGCACGTGGCAAGTGGATAAATGAAATACAAGACCAAGTTTGGTAGGTCAGAAGCATGCTTCCACAAAGCCCTGACTCTGCAGTGCCTTGGGAAGTTCGGATGAGGCTTGACAAACATGCTCAGAAGCAAGAGTTTACAGCAGATGCCCCTCCTAAGGTTGCTTAACCGTAAGCATTCAGCATTTCAGGCAAGGGTGCGCTCAGCAGATCCTATCGTGTGGAGGGAAGAGGGATGGAGGAGCTCGGGGCTCAGCCCCAAGGAGAGCCATGAAGACCACCCAAACAGTGCATGCAGACCACTAGCATGAGCTCTCCAGCACGGCCTGCAGAGTATTGGAGGTTGAGTCCTGTAGGCCTAGCATCCTGTGGGGAATGGGGCTACCCCTGACTGAGGGCACCTCATTGGCCAATATCCCACAAGGACTAAGTGAAGAACATACACTCTGGAGAAATGCCTCCTCTTTGTTTTAATCTAGGTGAGAAATGGAGGTATCCCTGAAAACAGTCACTTAAGGGAGCTGAGAGGTACATTCCCCCATTCAGGTCCACCTGGGGGACAAAGATACCCCACATGACTGGTCTGGGGAGTTGATTCACTAAGATATTTTGAACTCCACACCCTCACTGCAGTAATTTATCAGCAGAAGGCATGAACTAATCGGAAAAATCACTGTGCTGAACATACCAGCTTTTAGTAAATAGTCATTTACGTGAGTTTCTCTGAGTTTAGAGGGCAAAGGCAAACCTGAGCTTCTCAAAACACTTCGTTCTATTTTCACTGTGTCACTACCGTAATTCAGACCATACATATTGAGCACACTATGGGGGCAGTCATAGTGGGGTAACTCCCAAGATAGTTCACTGACAGCTGTGAGATGACTGTAGGAGAAACAGGAGTGCCCCAAGAACAAAATGTCTGTATTCACTAAAAAAATTAATAATCTGGCCCAATTTTCACCTCCTTATAGTCTGACATTGAGGTCACACCACAAGCTTGCAGGTTTCCCTCAGCCTAGACCTATATAGGCAAGAAGAAAAATCAGCCACATTGCTTTTAAAATTCATACATGTATGGCCAGTTTAGTTTTGCTCTTCCCTTCTTTCATGAGCCCTTACTGAAGACATGCAACAAAAGGCTAAACCAGGTACCTCAGGATTCTCTATTCTGACCTGTGCCCTAAAGGCATGTTAGTAGCTGGGACTTCTTTCAGGACCCATCTTGCTAGGATCAAACAGACCTAGTTAACAAGGCTTGTACAGTTGTTCACTGTTGAAATTCTTACAGATGATTCCATGACTTGAGGAAAACTCTGTGTTCAAGTGACATCTTTCATAGTGCATTAAATGGAAAGGGAAATTGCACAGAACGAAGTGGAAACAAATCAAGCACAAAACAGGAATGCTTTTAACTGTTTAGAACTGAGGAGCTTTTAATTGGTACTGAGCATCCACAACCCACAGGAAGCTTTGAAAATCTTGACCTCTTAATCTGATCGTGTTATCCACTTGGCTTGATGGAAGGATTTTCTAAATGTACATTTTCAAATACTTATTGGCAGGTAATTTTTTAATCTTTGTTCCTTTCAGTATCTTCCTCTTCAATTTTGTCAATCATCACTGCCACAGAGAGTCAGCAAGGCTGTCTTGTAATCACCACTTGTGTCATCCTGACAGGGGAAGGCAAATAAGAAAAGGTGAGTACCAAAGTTCCTCTGAGCACTTCAAGTGCTGCCTTTTTCAGTCCATGAGATACATCCACACAGGAAAGGGCTTTGCAGAGAACAAGACAGACTTCAGCAGAGTTATTGCCAACTGACACACCATCAAAATGGCACAGAGAAATGAGGCCTGTAGCTGAAATAATATTTATCAAGTCCAATTCCTTTCTTTGAAATCCAGGTGAGCAAGTGATCAGGGCTACATCCCACAGAGCAGCCCAGAAAAACTCAGCATGAATGAGGGAAACCAAGCCTTTAGTGTTCAGCTTTAAGTCTCCTGGGTATCCCTGTATCGTTCTTTCTCTTACAGGGAGCGAAAGCCAGGGGCTATTAGCCTCAACATATGATACAATTCAGAAAGCCACAAATATGGTTATTTTGACCTAGAAAAGTACTGCAGAGAATATCATGAGATGAACATTTTGTTCCCTTGATTATTTTGCAGTGACAGGTGTAAATCCATCTCCCCTTTTCAGAAGGACTGAATATTCCATGCAGATCCTTGAAGGCTGATCATTAATCAACATGACAGATACTGACAGTGTCAATTAGAAGAAAGGCCCTTCCATATACAATAAGACTTCCCATGGGGATTACTAAGGGTAGGACTTTTGTGCCATATGCACTAGGGGAAAGGAATGCACCAGATTCCTTGTGATATATTATAAAAAACCCCAGCATTCTAGTCCTATTAGGGAGCATAGCTTTCTGCTACCAAGGAATTGTACATTCAGACCTGAAATTCAAACCCAAAAAGTTACAGTAAGCTTTGACAAGGTTCGTTTCTAGACTTGTCTCATCATGGACAAGGCCTCACCTGGTGTAAACTGGTTTAACACAGATAGCCACAACTGCTTAAACTTATATGGCTCTAGTTTGAAGAAGTTCAGGACAGCAGAGAGGAGGAAACAGCAGTGTGTGAAGGGAGTGAAAGGAAGAATCTAGATTCACCTAGGAGATCATAAAATGGACAGATGCAGTCTGGTCAATGAGAAGCCTGACACTTTCTCTTCAGGTTTGGCTTTGCCTGAATCAACACAATCTGCCCATGCTTCAAGTACATATCTCTCTCTCTCAAGGAGGAAATTTTTAACAGGCCTGGTGAAAGAGAAGAGCTCTGATCTTTGCAGAAAGGTTTTTACTGAAAAGAACCATGAGAGGCTCTTCACAGGTTAGGAATGACTGCCAACGACTGAAAACGATCACAGCAAAATGAGGCTTACCAGAATCATGCTGGAGAGGGACTGTCCTGCAATCTTCTTGAACTCAACCTTTATAAGGTTTAAGTCAAGTTCACTGCGGGAAACAATCACCCTTATAAGAGTCCCATCATCGGTGCCAGCCCCCTAGAATAAATAGATTTATCAGTCTATGGTGCCAGTGTTCAAGGGATAAGCTGTCACAGACTGGTCCAGAACAGGAGTAGTCAGCTTTCAAGTGTCACTTGATCTTCTGCAGCCTGTCATCTTGGACCTGCTGTTGGCACCAAAAGCCATTCATGGAATCGCACTGCAAGTCTTTGCAAAAGCAAACATTCTATAGAGCTGGAAGTGGGGACTGAATATATACTGCCCTTCCCCAGCACCACCCATGCAACACCTGAATTTAGCCCATGTTGTATAATCTTTCATTCCTAGTAACATTACGCTCACATCAGTAAAAAAAAACTTTGGGGGAATCTCTTATCTCAGCATTCCAGAAAGTTAGAACAGCTGGCATCTCTTACACATGGGTTAAAACATAGAAGTGCAGCTGGCCCAATGTAATCTCATATAGAATTATTTTATACCTTTTTGAGAGAAGTCCTGCCTAAAAAGAAAACATTGTCACCCAGCCCACTAGATTCACATCATGGGCAAAACTCCAGCATGAGGAATGTTCTAGGAAAGCCTCTTCCAGAAATCTCATCCACATAGCAGAAAGTGGGATTGGTCTGCTTATGACTTCCTAAATGAGAAAAGCCAGATTCTTCTGGTATCTCAAGACTAGAGAGTACTTATTCTATCTAAGGTTTTAGAAGGGAATCTCCTGTTACTAGCAACAATAGTGCTAACATTGCTGGATTTCAGCAAAACTTTGGCTCTTCTGATTTCTATTGAAGGCAGTCAGATCATAGTTATGCCCAATGTGAAAAAATGTGTTATAATGAAGTCTTACCTTTAAAGCATTGTACAACCTCTCTGCAAAGTAGCAGCGGATGTTCCTTGTGCACTTCACTAGGCATATGAAAAGACTCAGTAAGTACCAATGATAACCCCAGCCCAGATCAGAAAGTGTTAAAGATGAAACATGCTATTAATTCAGTCGCTCTCTCAGATCTTAGTTGCTTTATTTTGTTTAAGTACACCCTTCACTTCCTGCCCTCTGGCTCAATAAATTAGATCCAACCCCAACATCCAACTGCTGCAGGAGTTAAAAAAAAAAAAAAAAAAAAAAAACACACACAGATTCAGACAAGAATAAGGGAAGTATAGCAGCTCTTACCAATAGCCAGCATGGCATCCTCTAGCGAACCCCGAGTTTCACTCTTGATAGAGTCTTCTATGCTCTTACCAGCAAGTTTCTGGTATTCTTCAAACACTGTTTTGAAATACAAGGCACTTGAAATCATCAAGCAACTGCTAAGGCATTTTGCACCCAATATTTACAGGTATTGCTTGGGTAGAGATATGGAAACACAAATCTCACTAAAACAGCCTAAAGTGGTGGCCACATTTGAGCCAACTTCAGTAAGCTTTAGTCATGCCCAGAAATTGGCTACAAAATAGGGTTGCAACATTCACTAAATCCTGAGGAAGTAGTAAATAACTGCATGCGCACAGAGTGGCTAAGGAAACTGAGGCACTTATTTCTCTATTTTTTTTTTTTTGTGAAACAAGTTCAAAAATTTCATACCTATTTGGAAATTTGACCCTTCAGCACTGTCTAACCAAACTGAAGCAAGCCACAGAAGGATAGTCATAACTCTACCTTCTGATATCATGTTTGTTCATGTCTCTAGTTTCAGGAACCAAAATAAAAATCAGAAATCTAAGGGAATGCTGCTCACAGCTCTTAACTTTTCTGGTTCTGTTGTAACCATTTGAAAGTCCATTCCAACAACATTTAACAACAACAACAAACAACTTAGAAAAGACAAGCAGAACACATTAAGATTCCAAGATAGTTAAATTCCCACATTAACAAAAAATCAGCAACAGAGTTGCCATTGCTTCCCCTGCACACTGAGAATCTCCAGAGTTAAGAGCAATAGGTCTCAATTTTGATTTCTAGCTTTTAAACTAGCAAAGGAAGAGAGATTTTTAAACACAGTGAACAACATGTTTAAGTTTCCACAACATTTAAGATCAATTCCCTAAAAACTAACAAAGGCAACACTATAGAACAGACAGATGGATATAACCTTCACAACTCAGGCCTGCTCTTCATATTCACAATATATTAGCTGCAACAAGTACACATAAGTCCTAAATTGTTACTCACAACCTGACTCAGTACAGAGGAATCCACAGATTCATTTGCTTGGTGATAAGGTATTTCACAAAGGTTGGTTGCATCCAAAGACAGCTTGAAGTTCAGTTCTTAAAGGCTGAAGCAGTCAAACTAGAGACCACTTTTTTTTTTTTTTAAAAAAAAAAAAAGTGATTCTGAGAGATTACATTTGCAAATGTGATAGGGAACTGGCCTCCATGGCATAGAAAATTGTCTCAGAGACCGCAGTTTGAAAAAGCTCAGGTATACCTAATTTATCATCATTTAATTTAGCTCCAGTTAACTTACACAGTACTTGATGTACTCAAACCCAGCCTACGTCAAGTCTGTTAATCAGAGACTTGGACTGCCTCAAGAGTTTGAGGCAGGAAGATATATCCATCACTTTGTCAGTGATTTTCCCCAGAGGAACTCATTACTAAGGAATCACAGGTCTAGTCATTGCATGATCTTAGCTGGTTAGAAGGGCACTGTCTCTGTTTCCTGGGGCTTGTAAGAACAGCTATACTACCTAGCCATCAATACAGCATCAGGACTTCCAGATAATTAGCCTGATTTCAGTGACAGTGAGTCTTCACAAGTTCCCAAGAGTGACAATTGCAGAGGTTTGAGAGCAGGGGCTCTCCTCCATACCTTTCAGCAAGTGTGTGGCACTCCTTGTGCACAGGATAGTGATGAACGGGATCTCATTTGTGCCCCGTATCTTCTCTCCAGCAGAATAGAGAGTCTGCAATGTAATAGGTACATTTACTGTAGATTTTGCATGCATGCATCTGCTGAAGGAATGGAGTGTGACACAAGACACTGCT